ACAATGAGTACACCCTGTATCAGTTAGAGCCTGGTATTCGCCAGATTGCCCCATTAGCGGGCTCGTCAAGGTGACTGGGATGGCAAAAGGAGCTATGGGTTGACTCACCATGGGGTCTTCTGCAGGGTCTCCATCATCGTACTCCCCCAAGAGGCCTTCAGCGAGTGTTGTTTCCACCAGAGACCATTGGGGGGTTCCACCTACCGCCTGACGGGCCGGCCTTGACCATTCCATGGTCGTCTTTGGTGTACCTTCTGGCTTACTTGTAGCTGTTAGAGTGCTGGGCGTAGCTGGAACCGGACATTTGGCTACCTGATGGCCCAGCCGATTGCACCTAAAACATCTAAACACAGCCCTGGGAGTGTAGTACTCAGGGCATCCAGGAATAGGCCAACATTGGCCAACTCTTGGGCGTGATCACTGTATAGATCCGCAGCCCAGGCCGTCACTTCCCCCTGCAAGCTTGCTGTCACAGCTACCACCATTGCCCAATTAGATGGGTATAGAGAGGCGAAGCGGTCCAGATGGCTAAGCACATGGCTCATGAATATTGCCAGGCGGTCTGGGTCCCCATCAAAGGCCACTGCGATAGGAGGTGGGTTCCACATCACGGCTGGAGGCCAGGGGGCTATTGCCTGTGCTCCATACTGACCCCCATCCGGAGGCATAGAGCAGCGGGTGTCATGACCCGACCCCCATGAGCCTGAGGAACCTGGTAAGGTCCCGGGCTGCCTGGAAGGATCCCCAGCCGGACCCCCAGCCAAACGACCCCATGGTGAGACAACCCATAGCTCCTTTTGCCATCCCAGTCACCTTGACGAGCCCGCTAATGGGGCAATCTGGCGAATACCAAGCTCTAATCGATACAGGGTGTACTCGTTGTTTGGTTAGTAAGGAGGTGGTAGAGTAAATAGGTAAATAGGAGTGGAGCGGCAGTTATCCAGGCTTCTGTTTAAATCTTAAATAAAGAGTTGTTGTTGCACCTGCTGCCTCGTCGATGCCTTACCGATCACCAAACATAACAATTTCCATGTAGCATTACAATGGCAGAGGGGCTGGTTACTTGAGGAAATACCTGTCTCTCATAGTATCTGCCCAGATAATGCAATGTGAAAGAGTTGGTATTCTCTTAGTTCTGTCAGTTAAATAATTTCAGCTATCAGAACTCCAGAAACCTACTGTATACGAACACCTTCCCCTCTGGAATGAGGTTCCCCTGAGATCTGAGTGTTCTCTCACCCTTCTGGATTTCAGAGGGCCCTGAAGACCTAGTTCTTTGTCTAGAACCTTGGCCAGATTGAAACTGCTTTTAGATTGTGTGATGTTTATTTTTGTTTTTTAAGTATACAGTACAAATGATTTTGTTATTTTTGCCATCTTTACTCTTTTTTGTTGATTTTGATTTTTAAAAAATTTATAAACTGCCCAGAGTCACTGGGAATTGAACAACATATAAATGTAATAAGTTATTATTATTTTATTACATATAAAAAGGCTTTAAAATAAAAATTGCATTATTCTATCACTGTGACGTATACTTAAGTAGAAAAATAATAGTTCTGGGCTTTTGTTCCTTTTCTGTCTGCCAAAATATTTGCCCACCAGCAAGTTTGCCAATTGATTATGTCCACTTATTTCATCAGTCTCATGGTCTCTTTTCCACCAAATGGATTAGGGTTATTGATCATTGTTTGATAGTTACCTCTGTAAATTTATGTACCCATACCATGATCATAACAAGACTATTGCACAAATCAATTACATCCTCGGTAGGCGAACATTCTTTGGCCATGATATTTTAAAATTAATGCCAGGCCAAAAAGGCACATGAGGTTCACTTTTTCTCAAATCATAATATAATCAGGCTTAGGATTTAAACAACAGATAGGTATCCTTATCTTACAGCTCTTGCATGATTTATCAAGTAGAAATACTAATTATAAAACTTTATATTGAATAAACAGCATTTAGCAATCTCTTTATATTTTGTGTGTGAGTGTATGTACAACATTCAATCTTATTGCTTTGTCAATAATTAAAGATCTGTATGGAGCTGCTAAATGAAATGTACTCTATAAAGAGTTTGGAAATATTTTTGAAAGAAACAAGCACAAAATCATTGTTACACAGACCTAACTACTGGATCTTAGGGAATGGCAGCCAGCTATTGTATACAGGTGGTCCTTGACTTATGACCATAATCGAGCCCAACATTTCTGTTGCTAAGTGAAAAGGTTAAGTGAGTTTTGCCCCATTTTATGACTTTTCTTGCTACAGAAGTTAAATGAATCACTGCAATTGTTAAGTGAATTTGGCTTCCCCATTGATTTCGCTTGTCAGAAGGACTCAAAAGTTGATCACAAGACCCTGGGACACTCCAACCATTATAAATATGAGTCAAGCATCTGAATTTTAATCATGTGGCCATGGGGATCCTGCAACGGTTGTGTCATGGTTCCGATAGATGAAACCTTTTAAAAGAACTTCAAGGCAAAGATTTATTCCTCAAATAACATTTTATTCAGGAAACAAAGTATCGGCACGTACATAGTTGAACCCAAGACTAAAGTTCCCTCCCCCCGATACAAAGTAACGAGTTGCAATTCCCACCCCAGAAAGGCTGTCATAAATCACATTCACCAATTATTCTAAAACGTGGGCTCTCCTCCCAACTTTTCAACCCGCCAAAACTTTATCTAACATTGACCTTGGTCCTCATCCAGCTGCAAATGTTATGGCTAACAGAAAACGCTCAAGCATTCCCCCTCCCCCCTTCTACATCTGAGAATCCCAAATAACAGGAAAAAAGCACAAGGAAAGCAAAAGGTAAAATGGCTATAGTTTCTCAATTGTCACAGTGCTGACAGGTTGTGTGAAAAACAGTCATAAGTCACTTTTTTCAATGGCACTGTAACTTCAAACCATCACTAAGCAAACTGTTGTAAGTTGAGGACTACCTGTACTTGGTCTTCAAAAGAAACTACTTTTATTAGTCATACTCTGGTTTCAGATTGTATAAATCTTTTTGTGTTTTATTTTTATTAATTTATTTCTTTGAGTAAAGTGAAACAGAACAGTACTAGGACTGGTTGCTACAATTGAAGTTTAAAAGCTGATGTAAAAAAATATACACAATAAGCACAAACACAGACTACTGAAAGCTTTCAGGAAATAATGCAGAATGATGGAAGACAGTCAGTCTGTATTGTTAAATATGCATGAAGGCAGCAACTACTGGTGATAATGCAGCTAAAAATAATATTGCAGGATCACAAGCAGTTGGAGGTTTTTGAAAAACATGCAGCTCAATTAATGTATTTCCACAGTCATTTTATTTCCACTGTAGACAAAGATGAAGACATCTGCAAAATTTTGTCTGTGTGCCTACATGTGGTCTCAATAAAATGGTTTCATTCCTTAGTTCCTGGGTATTTAGCTTGTGTGTTTATTTTCTGTTTCTAATACTGGCAACTATATCGATGCAGTGAAAACTCTCAGCCCTTGAAAAAATAGACAACATTGCAAAGTGGCATATTTTGTGCTATTGTGATTGCCTTTCTCACAGTAGTCAGTGATATGATCAAAACAAGTATGGTTTGTCTGAAGGATGTGCACTAGACATCATAATTTCCCCAGCCCAGGAGACTTAATTCTGTTGACTCTTGAATTCTGTTGACTCTTACCTGCCGCCAATTTGCTTTGACCATTAGTAGTGCGTATAGGTTTATTGTATGCTAATGCTTTCTACAAGAATTTGCGTACAATAAACCTGTATTCATTTGAACTGCCTGGACTCCTGTTTTCCTGCACTTGACTATTGCACTGCAGTAGGCACTGCAGGTTGTAATGTTGCTATCTTCTACTGTACTAAAAAGAGTCAGAGGTTGGTGCCTTTTTCTTTACTTTTTCCCTCTTTTACACTATTTTTTTCTTTTCCCTCACCCTCCTCCTAGTTTTCTATTACTTTTTTAAAATTTCTCTTTGTATTTTATATTTTGATAAACCAATAAAAACATTTAACCAACAATTGCACTGCTGTAGGGAATGACTCACACGAGGCAGATCTCTAAGTGCATCATGTGATCAATTGTACATAATTCACTACAAAAACAATGTCACTATTTCACATCAATGAACTTATGTCCATTGCTCAAAGAGACAGGTAACAGAACCCAGGCATAGTATTTTCTGCAACAGAAGTGTGAAGAAGGTCATTCCCATTGCTATGATAATGAGTAATCAAATGCAGATCCTTCTATATGACTTACTGATATGTTCATTTAGTAAGAAGATCCATTCCAGGATGACATTAAGGAGCTAGCCTCTGCAGATGGAGGGCCATTTGCCCATCTTAACTAAAGGATGCCCTTTTGCAGTAGTAATAAATTATTTATTCATGACTTTATGTATTCTTGTATTCTTGTGTAATTTTGTATGGAGATTGCTTTGAGTTCTTGGCATCTCTTGGCCAAGGGCCCAGTTGCAGATAACTAATCGTTTTTGCTCCTTGTAAGAGGAGAAAGCTCTCCCATAAGAATGGGGAGGAAAAGTGTCAAATGGATACAAGCTCTATAATAATTAAGCTGATTTCCATAATGGTTTTGCTACTTTGAAGTGATTTCCAAAAGAATTCCAAGACTTAAAGAAGTAAAGGGAAAAGTGACATTTTCAGAGGTTTTGTAATTTTTAAAATAAATAATTCCTATTGTTATTGTTATTTGTAGCACCTTGCTATAACATCTGAGATAACCTTATTCTCTGAGATTCTCACCCATTTTTCTTAAAGCATGTAAATATGCAAATAGTAACTAATAGGCCTTCTGTGTAAATATTTTGTAGTATGTTAAAAGCTGCTTGAGAATCAGATTAAAATTAACTTTTCTATTAACATTCAACATTTTTTCTTGTTCTGTGGAGCAACAATATAATACATTGAGGACTTCAGCTGAAAATTATGCCCAACCTTGAAACTGAAATTGTCAGTGTTTTCTGTGTTTCAGATGACAGTCCATATACTAAATCTGCAAACCAGTCAAAGCCACCTGATGGAGCACTAGCTATAAGAAGGCAGAGCATTCCAGGTATACAAGTATTTATATACTACTAAAATTTGCATGTCTGTTTGATTTTTGTAACATTCAAATAGGTGAAATGGTGCATCAAAGAGCAACAATTTTGGAATCTATGTACCTCAAATGAGCTAACTTTAAAAAATGGGTCCAAAATCTGCAACCCATGACATCTGGAGGACTAAAATTTGGTAAAGTTGTGCTGCTTCAGTGCTGCTGCGCCACTACAGCTAGCCATGGTCATGTGTTTGTCAATTCTAACACTCCCTGCCAACTTTTTACAAGCAAAGTCAGTGGGGAAACCCATGGGGAGCAATCTCAGCAATCTCACTATCTTTTACCCAAATTGGCATTTGCCATTTGAACTGATGTATTGAAAAGTAAAGTTCTAATCTGAAGTTTAAAGATGGGGTTTTTATTAAATGAGTTTTAAGTAGTGATAAGGTTGTAATTATATTTTTTGTACTGAATTTCATAATTAGCTACTTTGAATCGTGTTTCTCTCTCTCTTTCTCTCTCTCTCTCTCTGTGTGTAAAACTGAGTTTTAAATACATAAATGTCAGGTGAACTTTTCAGAAGGTAGGAAGTAGAACATTAGGTAACTTAAAGTAATCAGGATCATAGAAACATTTACACTGAAGAAAAATTAATACATTGGAGAATTTTAGTTGATTAAAATCCAGTGAAAATAGATTTAAGATTGTGAAAAACTAGTAAAAACAGAGGATAAAGCTTCACATGATTCAATTGTATTGGGTTCAATCATGTATATCTTTTGATTTCACACACACACACACAAACACACACAAACACACACAACAGCTTATGAATTTTACAGAGCTACAAAAATCAATAGAAATAATAGAACCTGAAAGCACCATCAAATGGAATCGATGGAAATGAAGTTTAAAAGAGAGAAGGGCATGTAATTTAATTGTGGGCATCATTGATTGAGATTGTTTTCAGTTTTAATAGAATTTGTCAGAAGAATTTTATCCAACCATCAGTGAATATTAACACATAAAACATTACATATTCAGGACAGTTTTCATTGTTTAACCTGCTGTTCTGAACTAAATTGGGAGAAGATACAGGATTTTTTCCCCCAGTTGTAACTATTTTGCCTAGCATAATTACATCTACTTTTTTGAAACTTTAATCTTATAACCTTGTAAGAAATGTGATAATAATAGAAATATCCTGTTATTTCTAGTGAAAATATACAATCTTATTGTCATGGTTCTGACAGACAGAGACAAATAAAGCATAACTCCGAGGCTTGCAAGTTCCTCAAAGAACATGTTTATTGATACAAAGTATCAGCATGTCAAAAGTGAAACCAAGTCTGAATAGACACAACAATCCCCAATACAAAGTTAAGAAATCCTACCCCTAAAGCTATACAAGCTACTACATTCCCCAATATATCTTCTTGGTGGGCTTTTCACAAAACGCCCAGCCTGCAGTCCTGGGAGCAGTCGATGACCTTGGTTCCCACAGGAGAAAATCTGTTTAATCTAGCGAAGCACCTGGTAACCCCCCCCTCCCTCCGTGCTAAGTGTCAACTGAAAATGAGTAGGGAAAATGGCTGCAGCCATGCTCATTTTCAAAGTTGACAGTCGGCTCCCCATCAGAAAAACAGAGTCTCTTTCAGGGAAAAGAAAAAGCAGGTTAAGCATTCCCTCAAGCTTGTGAGGGTATTTATCATAAAACTTTTTTTAATCAATCTTTTCACCTTCACATTTGTACATTTCACCCATGTAGCCTCTGAAAGGAGGTAACCTTTCCACTGGACAAGGTATTGTAACTTTCCCTTGTATAGCCTAGAATCAAGAATATGTTTTATCTCATAATGCGTCTTTTCCTCTACCACCATTGGACCAGGCAACTCTTTTGGAATAGGTCTTAAAGTGGATTCTGACACAGGTTTCAAAAGACTGCAATGAAACACCAGGTGAACTTTCCCCAACAATCATGGAAGTTTTAACTCCACCATCACAGGGTTTATGATCTTGATAATGGGGAAAGGGGCAAGGAATTTTGGACCCAATTTTTTGCTGGGCAACTTTAACCATAGGTATTTAGTTGAAAGATAAACTAATTGTCCAACATAAAAAGGGGTTTTGAGGGGAACATTGTTTGTCTGCCTGCTCCTTGTAAACCTTGGTAACTTTGGTCAATGCCTTCTTCATGTTCACCCAAACCCCCTGAAAAGATGTCACCCATTGGTCCAAAGTCTGGGAAGTAGGAGGCTCCTGTGGGAACTCAGACATGGGCACAAAATCTTGACCTATCACTATTTTGAATGGGGTGAGACCAGTGCTACTGTGCACAGTATTATTGTAGGCTACCTCTGCAAAAGGTAAAGGGTCATCCCAATTAGACTGCTGGTAATTTACATAACATCTGAAGTACTGTTCCTCCATTGCATTAGCTTTCTCAGCAGCTCCATTAGTATTCGGATGAAAAGCAGATGAAAGCCCCTGGGAGGACCCAATCAGTTTAACAAACTCCCTCCAGAACTTTGCAATAAACTGGACCCCTCTGTCAGAAATAATCCTCTTTGGAGCCCCATGGAGTTGGTATATGTGCTTCAAAAACAGTTTGGTTAGCTTCTGGGCAGAGGGAAGTCCTGAATAGGCAATGAAATGCACCTGTTTGGAAAATAGGTCAACCACAGTCCATGTCAAAGTTTTTCCCTTGCTCTCAGGTAATTCTACTATAAAATCCATGGCTATCTCCTCCCAAGGTTGAGAGGGGTCGGCCACTTGCTGCAATAAACCTGGTGGTTTTCCAGGACTCTTCTCCATGGTAGCACAAGTGACACAACTTTCTACATAACTCTCAATGTCCTTTTCATTCTCGGCCACCAGAACTGCCTGTGCACTAGATGCAATGTTTTTAAAAATCCAAAGTGACCCGCTTGCTTAGCGTCATGACTCCATTGCAACACCTTTAGCCTGAAGCCTTCTGGGAGGTATAATTTAGAACCTTTCCAAGCTAATCCCCCCCTTAAAGTTAATATAGATTTGTTATCTTTAAACCAGGCATCAGTCTCTAACTTCTCCTTCAATTCCTTTAGTGATTGATCGTCAGGACCAGCAGAGGGTCTCTGTGTGTGTGTGATCTGGTTGTTATTTGGGAAGTGGATTGTGGCAGAGGAATAATGGAGTTAATTACTTCCTCTCGGTTGCTCTTGAACTGGAGCATTCTAGACAAGCAGCCATTTTCAAAGTTGACACTTATCTCATCTATTATTAGAGTATTTTAATTTTTCTTTTTTAAATATTGTATGAGGAATATTATACATCAAGATCTCATTTTTACAAATCTGATTTCTAAGATACAGTATACAGTGATAACTTCTTCGAGCAATGCATATGAAACATGCTTCTTTTCTACCATCAAAGTGTGAAGGTTTATTTTTCATGTAGATTTTATGTTTAATTTTCTCCCATTCTGAAAGTAGTGCACTTCTTATCGCATGGTTTTGAAAGTATTTGTGAACTTTAGATTTCTCATACCATATAAAAGCATGCCAGCCTAACTGAAGATCATATCCCTCTAAATAAAGCAATCTTTTATTTCTCAATAGAATCCATTCTTTAAACCAAAGCAAAATAGCTGCTTGATAATACAATCTCCAATCTGGCAGTCCAAAGCCACCCCTTTCTTTAGAGTCTTGTAACATTTTACATTTAATTCTAGCTTTCTTTCCTTGCCAAATAAATCTTAAAATCATTGCATTTAAATCATCAAAGAAGTTCTTAGTAAGTTCAATTGGAACTGTTTGGAATAGATAAATTAGCTTTGGTAAAATATTCATCTTAATCGTTGCTATTCTTCCTAAAAGTGATAGTTGAAGATTTTTCCATCTTTCCAAGTCTGTTTTTATTTGTTTCATTAGTCTCTCATAGTTGTCCTCTTTTAGTGTAGTATATTTTGCAGTTAAATAAATACCCAAATACTTAACCTTTTTAACTATTTGAAGATTTGTCATGTTGGTAAGTTGAATTTTCTGTTTATCTGTTAGATTTTTTGTTATTACTTTAGTCTTTTCCCTATTAATTTTTAGACCTGCCACTTCTCCAAATTTCTCTATTTTCTGTAGTAGTTTAGTCGCGGTTTGAAGTGGTTCTTCTAGTATAAATACCAAATCATCGGCGAAGGCCTGCAATTTGTATTTTTGATCTTTAATCTCCAAACCTTTAATTTCTGTGTCTTGTCTAATATTTCTTGCCAAGACCTCTAATGTAAGAATAAATAACAAAGGGGAAAGTGGACATCCCTGTCTGGTACCTTTCTTAATCTCAAATCCATCTGTGTATTGTCCATTGAAAAGTATTCTGGCAGTTTGTTTCTTATATATTGTCTGAATTGCTTTGTTAAAATTTTCACCGAAGTCCATTTCTTGCAATTGTTGAAACATAAATTGCCAATTTAAATTGTCAAATGCTTTTTGTGCATCCAGAAATATAAGTGCCATCTGGTTCCCTGGGTGGGTTTCATAATATCCCAGAACATTTAAAATAATCCTCAAATTATTCTTTATCTGTCTTTTCGGTAGGAAACCGTTTTGGTCAGAATGTATAAATTCATTCAAAAAAAATTTCATTCTTTCTGTCATTATTGCCCCAAAAATTTTGTAATCCACATTTAATAAAGATATTGGTCTATAATTTTTAATTACTGTATGATCAGTCTCTTCTTTAGGTATCAAAGTAATATTAGCTTCAGTCCATGAGTCCGGTATTTTTGTCTGTATAAAGACTTCATTACATAAGTCTTTCAACGTCGAGATTAAAGTATCTTGAAAAGCTACATAAAATTCAGCAGGAAGACCATCAGGTCCTGGAGTTTTATCTTTCTTTTGTTTTTTTTATTGCCTCTGTAATCTCCATCATTGAAATGTTCTCATTTAATCTCTGGCGCATATTCGCAGGTACCTTTGGAAGGTTTGCCTCTTTTAAATATGCCTGTATTGCCTCTTTAGGAATAGTCTCCGCCTTAT